TCAGCTGTCCTGATGGACCTCAGGGCCCTTAAGGAGAGAGACTAGAGTGGAGGAGTGGACGTAGGGGTCATCATCATGGGAATGGTAGGTGGGGGCCATGGGGTAAATGGGCCTCATTCCTAACAGTGGCGTATGCAGACAAAGACAGAAAGTGGGCTCAGAGAAACCCAGACATGGAAGCAATGGGAAGAGGCAGCAAAGGCAGCAAAGGCAATGGAGGAGAGACAGAGGAGGAGGGGGATCCGGGACTGAGAGGAAACAGAACCAAGGAAGGAGAGTTGCAAGGAGGCTGCAGCTGATCATGCCACGAGGCAGGGCCTGACCCCACATTTGACAGGGGGGCAGCTGAGAGCGCCAGCCCCTCCTGTGAGCGAGCCTTTCAGAAAGCCTGAGCGCTTCCTCTCCCAGCACTGGCAGGGCGCCAAACCATACTGACACCTTCATCCAGGCTGACTCTCTCACAGGCACCACGGAGCCACCAGCCAGTCTCTTCCCTGGCCTCGCCTCCCCCTGACCTTACCGGCCCCTGACCTCTCCAGCCATGTGAATGGCAATCTGGGGTGCCCCCTGCTCTCCCCAGAACGCCTCGTTCTGTGAGGAATAAACCTTTTCATGCTCTCCGGTCGGCATGAGGCACTGTTAGTTTCATGCCCACCACCAATTTGGGGGGGGAGGGGAGGGGAGGGGGGAGGAGAGGGGGAGGGGAGGGGAGGCCACCGGGGAGGGGACGCACGCCCCCCACCCCCACCCCACCCCACCCCACCCTGCACCCTCTCAGGGTGACGACACCATCAGCTGAGTGTTCCCATGTAACAGACATGAGGCGCCAGCACAGTCTCTGCCTTTGGCGGTGGGGAGGCCTGCAGCAGGCTCTGCTTGAGTACAGAGGGAAGGAAAAACCTGAGGGTCCAGTGTGGAGGACAGAGAAGAGGATGGCAAGACGGAGACAGTGAATCGCACGACTGTTCCCCCGAGTTTCACTGTGAAAGGGAGGGGTCTGGGCATGAGGAGAGAGCTGTTGCCAGTGGAAGAGAGCAGGTTCGGACGTAGGGGAGAGGAAGGTGAACGGGTTGAGGGAAAGTCCCGAGAGGTGACAGAGGTTCCAGAGCGACAGGGGAGGGGAGAATGTGCCCGGGCGCGGGTTAGCTTGTGCGTCTGCGGGCAGGCCTGTGCTCTTCGGGAGGTGATGTGCTGGAAAGTAGGTGGTGGGGTCAGGACTGGAGGAGAACTCCGCAATGACCTTCAGGAACAGATCGCGCTGGTCCTCGAAACACAGAGGAATTTGGGCACGGGGTGGGAGGGCCGCACACCCTTCTTGGTACCATCTGTGAGTGCTGGTTGCTCCTTGGTCTGCCTACTCAGAAAGACTGGCCTAGCTTTCTTTTTTTTTTTTTATTCTCTGCCCCCACGCAAATTGCCATAACCTACTCTAACTCACTTTACCTTGTTTTTAAACTGTTTACCCATTTACCTCATTACAGAGTCTAGAAAATTTAGCAAATACAAACAAGCAGAAAAAGAAAAGTTATATTCCCTATAAAGGCACTACCTGAGGTTATGGTTATTAATATCGCAGTCATTCTGGCTATGGAAAAAGTAACAAAATATACTTTTAATAAGAAAAGTGGGCATTGTGCCATTTAAACAATTATCTTCTTGCTTTCCTCCAGTTGGCTTTGCTTGTACAGTGAACGTTTCCCATGTCGTCAATATTTCCCTGAATGTCTTTGACGGCAGCAGCTATTTCGAGACTCGGCCATACCATCACATGCCTGCACTAGCTAAAGGCCATTTATTTTTGTTTTATTGATCTTTTGTGCCCCCCAACGTCCATTAAACTCTCCTCAGTTTTCCTCTGGGGAATCCATGGCCTTTAGGTGATGCTGACTCCACCTGTGACTTCAAGGTCAGAGACTTTGACCCAGGACTAAGCCATTGCATTTCTCTGTCCTCGGGGATTAGACCAAGGGTAGGCAGGATCACCCCCAAACTCCAGGAAGAGGGGCAAGGAATGCAGGCGGACCGGAGCCCCAACCATGCTGTGCTTCCAGGAGGAACAACACCCTCAAGTGAGGGAGTGTGGAGTCTGTCTGCCCCCTGAAGCCAGAGCCTTGGTCTTATTCACTTATGTTCTTCACTCCTGACCCGGGGACTGACCCCAAACACACAGCGGAGACTCAGTGAGCTGCAGCTGCGCCATCCGGCCATCCCCAAGTGGACGGGCACAAAGCTTACACAGGTTGGATGGAAAGGGAAAGTCAGATCTAGTGCTTGTATTTCTTTTCTCTTGAGATTTTGAGACCATGTTCAATAGACCTGAGAGGAAGCAGCAAGGGAGTGAACCTGACTGATATGTTAGTACTTGTTTCCTACTTTAAAAAAGAAATGAATAGCCCTGGCTGGTGTGGTTCAGTGGATCGAGTGCAGGCCTGCAAACCAAAGGGTCACCAGTTCGATTCCTGGTCAGGACACGTGCCTGGGGTTGCAGGCCAGGTCCCCACTAGGTGGTACGTGAGAAGCAACCACACATCGATGTTTCTATTGATGTTTCCTTCCCTCTCTTTTGCTTTCTCTTCCCTTCTCTCTAAACATAAGTAAAATCTTAAAAAATTAAATTTAAAAAAAAAAAGAAATGAGCAAAAGATAGTATCCAGGACATGGATTAAACTGCTCTCGGTACATCAACTCCTTGCAAGCCTGATGGAGAGAGATAATTCCTCCGCCTCACACTGTGGCTGCACACACTGAGACATGGGGCCATCACGTAAACACATGGTTCATGGTCATGCCCATGACCAGTCGCTAATCTGACTGTTGTGAGTTTTTCCAGTCCTTGCAGAACCGCAAAAAATTAGCGCAGGTCTGGGTGGATCTCCTGACTGCTTCTCTTAGTTCCTTGTCCTCCTGCCTGCATGTCCTAGAAAGAAGCCAAGGGCCCCGTTCATACAGCTCTGGGCTCCGTCCACCAAACAAGGAACAAGGCTGACGCCGTGCATTGTGTAAACTCCCCAGCCAGTGACAGTATTTATACCGACAAGCAAACTTCTGATTACCAACCTGCCGCCTGCTATGTAAACAGGTACAGACTCAGATTTATACCAGTTTACACAGGGCAGTAAACAACTTAGTAATCTCTCTTCAACCCGGCGCTTGTGAATGTAAATGTTTAAGCCAAAACCGATGCCAATGCTGCGGTGCAAGCTTCCAGCTTCTTAACCGGAGGGGTTGTGCTAAGGAACGGTCCCTGTGTGCCCCTACCTCGGGTGGAGCTGCAGGGTCAGGCAGAAGGCCCACAGTTCTGGGGGCTGGGGGGGTCTCAGTGGGCCGAGAGAGAGCTGGAAACAGCCCCCTACCACCCTTATCTTCTTCCTGGTCCTGAGACTTCCCTCGCCTCCTCGACTATTCTTCCCACTCTGCTTTGCCAGTATCTGAGCTGGGTGCAGGAGTGTGAAAAGGGAGGCAAGGGGGGACAGGGCAAAGCAGCCCTCCGGCTCCTGGTGGTACCATTCCCACGCGGAGATGACCAGGGTATGCTCACTGCCTGTCAACACGTTACTATGCAAATTGACCCGGATCCTATGCAAATCATATGCAAATGTGTTTTCCTCTGTCAGTAACTGTTGACAATACCTGCTGGAGTCCACTGAACCAGATGCTGCCTGCTATGAATTTTTCATCAGTATTCATCTTTGGATCGGCCTGGCTCTTGCCTTAAACTGGGAGGACGAGGAGGGGGATGGCCTCTCCGCCTCCCATGTGTCCCCGGGTGGAGGAAGGCCCTGGGAGCAGTCACACTGAGTCTGCCCACAGCAAGAAGACTGCGTATTGAACAGAGGAGGCACATGGGAGCCCGAGAGCCAGCCTCCAGATTTTCTCCTGCCCCACCAGACAATTCAAGCAAAGTGTGTATCTCCTGGTGCCGTGGCTGGGGCTTTGCTACTTTAAAAAAAATATCTGAAAAAATACCTACTATGGTCAGACTTCTACTGAAGTCCTGGGTTAAAAAAAATGATTTTGATTTTTCTCCTGAACTGACAGAATTTAGGGTTGGAAAGAAGAGCTACTATTTACTGAGTACAAAACGTTTCTTTTTCTGAAAGCATTTGTTTGTTTAGAAAAGGGCTCGTTTTCTGAAACCCTTTATGGAGCAACTGGCACCAGGCGGGCACTGGGCTGGGTCCATGTCTCTCGCTGGATCCCCCACCCGACACTGTGACGTGGGCATCGTCCCCCGTTTACTGAGAAGATCGGGGCCCAGGGTGTTCAGTGACTTGGCTGAGGTTACGGAGCCTACGCAAAGGGGGGTGACCGAGGTTCAGACCCAGCCTGTCTGCAAAGCCCTTGCCCTTCGATACGCTGTAAGAGGCTTCTGTTCCTCTGGTCGCTGGGCCTTTGGAGGAAAGGCTCCCTGGCTTCTGGGTCCAGGAGCGGCACACAAAAGCAGAGAGACGATAATAGCGATGCTAATGGCTAACACGTACTGAGTTTCATGCTCTCAAAGGAAACTGACTGAACCTTACACTTGATACATAGAAACTTTTCTAGTCCCCACATCAGCTCCATCAGGGGGATGTTATTGCTTTTATCCTCATTGGCTGATGAGAAGACCGAGGCAGAGAAACCCCTTCCCGGCATCACACAGCAGGTGTCTAACCCAGCACCGGCCCAGGCAGTTTCTCCCAGAGCTGCTGTCGTGGGCCCCAGACGGTTCCAACCAGAGGACAGTCCCTGACGTGTCCCCACACACATAACACCTGGGAAGCCCCTAACACTTACTTTAAAGGAAAATGATAAATAGGGCAGAGACTCTTTTAAAGAACACCTAGACAAGACTGTGTGGAACCTCCTGTGAAAAAGGATCGTCTTCACAGCAGCAACCTGGTCACCCTACCTGTTGTGACTGGGAAATACACCTGTGCAGGTAAAAAGACAGCGCACAAACAAACAAAATCAAACAAACTGAACACGCAGTGGACGACCCAGAGGTCGGGCCCACTTACGTCCCGGCTTGCCTCTCCGCGCCTCCCACCACGTAGAAGCCGGGTCTGCACTCGTATCTGCAGGTGGAGCCCACGTCATGGCGGCCCCGGAGGCAGCGCGGCAGGAGCAGGTTGGCATTCGGGATGACAGGTGGCACGTCACACTCCAGCTTGCAGTAGGCTTCGGGGAGAGACCAGAGCCCGTCCTCCAGGCAGGTCAGCCACGGGCTCAGTCCTGGCTCCAGGAAAGAGAAGCGCAGGGTGCTCAGAACACAGAGTGCAGAGACATCCCAACGTCAGACCGAGCCAACCCAGCCACCACATGGGCATTAGAAAGAGCATCGCTCTTTGTGGAACGACTCCCTAAAATCTCAGGGCAAGTGTCTTTTCTGCTTTTCTTACCCACAGAGCTGCCAGTGTGACCTACCATACAGAACAGAGTCACAGTGTGACCTACTCTACAGAACAGAGACCAGGTAACGACCCCTTGACATCAGTGACAGAAGGGCCAGCCGCCCCCCCCCCATCATTACCTCGCTCCCTACCTACGGATGTTGAAAACACAGCAGTGTCTGTGTCACGGACAACATTATAATGATCGTAGGTCACGTTTTTATAGTACTTACTATACCACATACCAAGCACTGTTCTAAACGTTTTACACACATTAACTCACGTAAGCGGCAAACCTCAAGCAACTACGTGAGATAGATCTGTTATCCCCCGTCTGGCAGAACAGGAGGCGGGGCTGAGGTGACTGGCCTGACCTGGTGAGAGGCCGAGGCGGGGACTGAACTCGGGCCGTCCAGCTGCAGAGCTCCGGTGGGCTTCGGCCCCACACCAGACGCCTACGAGGAGCAACCCTTGGACTTCTGGCTACGTGACCAGCCCACCCCAGGCCTTCTAAAGCCAGGTCTGTTGGCGTGGGGCTTGGGGGGCTGCGTTTGTAATGGGCCATGGGTGGGTGCACAGGAGTCTGCAGGGAGGTGAGGAGCAGGGTGGCCAGACCACACGCTTCCCCCTGGTCATGTGACTATCGGCGCAGCCACGAACCAATCCAACCACTAGGGTTTCATCTACAAAACAGAGCGAAAAGCGCCCCACTCATAGCATGGTGGTCAATGTTAAATTAAGAAATGGGCGTGGTAAGTGTGGTGTTATTGTTAATATTATCAGGAACCTGGCTGCGGAGGACATACAGTCGCATAAAAACAGAAGCAGATTCCTGTTTTTTTCAGAATGAGGTCCCAAGCCAGGCCATCCCCCCGCCAGGCCATCAGAAAGAATGGCGTTGTCTTGGGGACTCGGCTGGGGTTATCGGAAGAGGGCGGTCCAGCAGAGCAAATGGGAAGAGTGTGTCGGGGTGCGGGAGAGGTCCCCGAAGAGCCCCCAAAGAGAGAGGGACTGGAGGGACCCTGCAGCCCACAGTCCCCGCTGGCCAGACAATACCTTGAAGCTTGGCCGGAGGGACGCAGGAGGCGGAGCAGCGTTTGAGGAAGGTCGTTCCCTCGGAGCAGGAGAAGGTCGCGTAGTTCACCAGGGACGGGTCGGGGATGCCACAGTCGAGGGGCGCACAGTGCACGGCCCGGTCCCAGTGCCCCGAGGAGCACGTGAGCAGGGTCTCCCGCTAGAAACAGGGAGAACGCTGTTCTGTCACCGTCCCATGAGACGCCTCCCACGGGTCCCATGAGAAGGCTTATCTAAAGGGTTTCCCCGTGAGGATTTGTGCAAAGACTCAAGACAGGTCAAAGTTATGTTGCCTTTCTCCCGCTTTCCGCCTTATCGTCTTAACACAGGGCCTCCCGATTCTGAGGCTGCGGGAAGATGCCTCTGGAAGAGAACCACTGAAGGGGGAGGATGCCCTCCAGGCCCGCTCTCCGCTGCCCCGGTGTGTCCCTCTGTTCCTTCTCCACCCTCCTCTGCCCTGCTCTGTGCCCGGGGACGCAGACCCCTGTGCATTCCAAGCCTCTGACCAGGGCGCACTGGCAGGAGACAGACAGGAGCAGAGGCAGGGGGGAGGTCAGGGTGCCTACCCTTCCTGCTCTCTCTGCAGGGGGCTGCTGCAGGTCAGCCCCACCCCTGGGTGGCCCTCTGCACACGGCTCCTGTGTTCTCCTCTCGAGGGTTCTCTCACTGCTCCCTGCGGTCAGCCTTCCAGGCTTGGGGGCATTGACCACCCCTTCAACCCTGGGAGACTGCACCATCTCCCTGTATTTTCCCGAGATCCTGCTGCCACCTTTGCAAGTAGTCCCTCTGATAAATTCTCAAACTGCCCACAGTAGAGCACGCCATTGGCTTCCTGCGGGACCTTCCTGATGAGCCACCGAATAAAGGATGGTGCACAGTATCTAAGAGCAGTTGAGAATTCATCTCGGGCACCTTCCATACCACGTGGTGAAATTTGGGATGCCAGCCATCTTCCTGAGCCCCAGCTGTAGGGTGGCCTGAGGATTCCTCGCCACCAAGTAAATGCAGAGACACTGACTGGGCACCTGGAAGGGCCAGGCTCTGCCCTAGGTTTTGGTAAGCAAGATGCCTTCATGGAGCTAGTCATCTACCAGCAGAGCAGATCACAGGTGGGGCCAGTGCTTCGGAAGCACTGAAGGTAAGGAATGGACAGCAGAGAGAGAGAGAGAGAGAGAGAAAGGGAAAGGGACAGGGTGGACAGGAGGTACGGGAAAAACGCAAGGGAGATGCTTCTCTCGAGCCCTGCCCCTTTTCACAACGACTGCAGAGAAAACAATCCAAGTATGCGAAAGATGAAAGAGATAGGAAAAGGGGGCCACGAAGCGAGAAAATGCAAATCGATAAAAGCTACAGCAGTGTCATATATATGTGTGCTTGTTCTGGGGGGCTGAGGCAGCGCTATGGGGTAGCCGCAGGGCTGGCCGTCCTTGGGCAGCAGGGATGGCGTGTTGGGGGGAGACTTTTGGAGCCGGTGATGCAGGAGCTGGGGCTTGAAAGATGAGTGGGACTTCGGAGGGGAAGGAGGAGGAAGAAAATGTTCTGAGTGAGGGGAACAGAATGAGCAGGGACTGAGGGCTTGTTTGGGAGAAAACACAGCTGTCACTCTAGCCAGGGGTCACCAAAGGTCACAGAGGGGGGAGGAGAGAGGGGTGGTTCTGTGGCTGGGCCAGCCATCCTGCCCGGAGACCACAGGGGCCACAGCCAAAGGTAAAATGACTAGTGACAGCACCTGTCACGCCTGACACCAGCTCCTGGTTACCAGCTCCTCCCTGTTTCCCAGTGTCCCCTGCTGCCTGCCAGGAGGGCCCAAGTCACAGCCAGACACATTTTTCTGTTTAGTTTCAGTTCTTGCGTCAACAGTAAGCAAATATCCCCTGCTGTCTTGTGATCACGAGCAGGACGGTCTCATTTCCTTAGCTGGGCCCACCTCAGGTGACGGGGGAGGTCAGCGGGAGAGTGGCCTCCACCGCATGGCTGGTGCAGCGTGAGCACCTGGCCCAGACTCTGCCCCCGGCACGCCGGCACGCTGGCTCAGACCGCAGCTCCAAGAGCGGCTCCCAAACTCCAAGTGTATCGCCCGGTTTTTCTCCTGACTTCACTAAGCCCTGTCCATTTCATTTTGAATTGGCTCTTAATTTTAACAGATTGCAAACTCCGTCGTCTCTTCTCTACCCTCCTTTACCTGTCACGTGAAGGTGTTTACTCCCTAAATTTGGGGGGGAGGTCCTCTTTCATCTTTTCTCTTTTCTAGAGTAAGTTAGGCTGGCTTAAGAACAGGGAGGTGATAAGACCATTCTATCGCCCAAAGCATCGCATCGCGCAGGTCTGCAGTAACTGTTCCTTCCCATACAGAACCCAAACCCACTGAAACCAATGGCCGTGTCTAAGCAAGTGAAATTCCCCACTGATCCAGGAATTCCCCTTCTTCCACACCACTGGTGTCTGATTGCCAGTCACACACTGTCCACTCTTCCCTCACTGTGCCCCTTGTCCCTGGGTTGCTCCTCCAGTGCCGCTGTCTTTGGCCTAACACACACTCTCTGTGCTTCCTATTGTGGACATGTTTTCCAAGGGCTGATTTCTAGTGAGACTGCTTGGCAGGGCACCGAAAGCTCTCTAAAGAGAAGATGGGGAACAGCGTTTTGGGTTGAGAATATAGCATCATGCTCGTAATGACGGCAGCTTACCAGAGTGCCCCGCGCCTCACGTTCTGCTAGAAGCTTTTACGTGACTTCCAATCACTCGCTGTAACCACTCAATAACAGAAATAGTTCTGTTCTAATTATTTTACAAATGTGAAAACAAACCTGAAGAGGTTTCTTTGTTCTGTTTGTTTTTACCTACAATCATACACCTAATAAAGAGCAGGGCCAAAATTTCATTCCAGGTCTGTCCCAGGCCACGCTCTTACCTCTGAGTCACCTTGACCTCCGGGAAATGGTGCTGTGGTAGCTCGTGGAGACTGGGACAGTCATCGGAGCCAGAGTCATGACACAACCCCCACCTCGGTAACAGAGGGAAGGGAAGCAAACCCTTTTCCTCCAGCCCGTTTGTAAGAAGGCCTGGGGACTCAGACAATGGACCACAGACAAGCCGGCTGCAAGCCAGGGGACAGGGCTGAACTGTGGCATTCTCGTCTTGAAGGCAAAAAGTGGGGACTGTCATTTCTGAGGGAAGACAAGGACAGGGAAAGGAGTGGGACGCGCCCTGGTCTACTGCCCATCTGGAGGGAAGCTGACCCCTGCCGAGTGGGCACCGCACAGGCGCCGCAAATTTCCATAAAGCCCCGCCTCTCCTGGCCTTTCAGAGTCCACAGGTCTCCTTTCAAATGACTGGCAACCGCCTGCCCTCCCTCAATGGGGCCAGAGAGAGGAGCATGAGGACCTTCCCCCACCAGGACCTCAGCCCTGAGGACATAGTTTTCCAACTCACCTGCACGGGCCTCAGGTACTTCCCACTGCTGGCCTGAAGGGCGAACCCCCTTTGACAGGTGACGGAGCACTCCATGTGACCTGGGCCCCCAGAAGTACAGTTCACCAAGTCTGTGTGATCAAGCAGCAGGGGTGCACAACCACCCTGCTCCCCGCAGGGCTGGTGGACACAGCTGGGGAAGACAGAGAGAGAAACATCTTACTTAGGCTGACGCAGACCCAGGGGGCAGCAGCAACGACTCGGCAGCCTCTCCTGGAAAGGGCCTTGAAACCAAAGAGAACGCTTTTTTCTAAAACCTACATTAAGCTCGCTACCTCCTTCTGCATGACCTGGAACCACTCAACATACAGTAAACAAGAACAGTATCGCGGTCTGGTGCGGGGGACCAACAAGGTATTTCCACCGCCAGCAGCAGTGGTCCCCATCAGCCAAGACAACTGCTGTGTATTTCCTCATCCACTGGCTTCATTTCCCCCCCGGGTTGTATTAGTGCTCCGCGGCTTTGTTAAGGGCGGGGCAACAACGTGAGAGTGGAAAAGGAACCGTCCCTGGCTACATGCATACTGCCCTGAAGTGACTGAGAGTTGATTTGAAAAGCTCTGGTGCGAAGAAGATGAACTTGACCTGAACATGCTAACAATGCTGCTCAGGTCACGTGTGTGCCCACGGGACTGAAGTCGCACACCAGTGACGTTGGCACTTCCCTGACCCATGCTTTTTAGGTGCGGGATGAAGGGCTGCAGCGGAGCGGTACCAAGAAAGGCCTTGACTTCTTTCGGCCCTGATTGCTCCCTGCGAGGCAGAGGCACACCCCGGAGCCCACAGGGAGCCCCGATGGAGGGAGAGACACGGGAGCTGACATACGGGGGCTGGGCGAGCGGCTGTGAACTCTCAACAGGAGTTTCCCAAACCCAGTGCTGTAACTGTGTATGCAACACACAAGACACCTTTGTCTCCGGGTCTCTCTTCAACCCATCACGGTAAGAACAGCCGAAACCCGGCTGTTCTTCATGGGATGAGATCAGAGGACCTCACCGGTGACGCTAAAGAGCTGCAGCTTCCAAAGATGCTACGTGCTCGGATGGCTGCAAAACGTGGTACTCCTTCAGTGTGGTCAGCACGGCGGGGAGGAAAACAGAGTCATTAACAGCTGTGGTTCGTGTCAGCCCAGTGCCAAGAATTTAATGAGAAGTAGCACGTGGGGGTTTTTCAGCGACTCCATCCAATTACACCGTGTCAACCGCGAGGACGATCTGGGGCTGACATAGGACGCAAAACAAGTCCTGCAAGTGAGCCTCCTTCCATCAGGATGGGGTTGCTATGACTACCAGTGTGGGAAGTCCTTCCAGCACTAGGAGGAGGGAGGGAGGGAGAGAGAGAGACAGGGGAGCACAGACAGAGGGGGAAAGTGACATGAAATGAAACCAAGACCAAAAAACCCCACCAAACCCAGACCTGTTTATGAAGTGAGAAATGGCTTCAGGGCAGCTGCTGCAAATTCTTTCACTAGCTTATATTTCCATTTGCTTCCTTTTTAAGGAATCTGTTTTACGAGGACGGTGTTTGTCAGGTCGTTAGCTTCTGATGGCATCTGGTACCAATTGTAGACTTTTCTTCCTCACGCCTCAACCCCAAAGCCCTTCTGTATTTCTCGTCCACTACACACACGGCTTTTTATGAGTGAAGTGCTGTTCTCCATGGTTCCAGCCTCGAGGCCCAGTCCCCTGAATACTGCATAAGGCCCAGTATCACAAAGATAATGGGAATAGTAAACGCAGCTTTTAAACTCCTCAGAAGCTCTCTTCCGTGGGTCTTTGGATGCAGGTTAACGGCAGAGGCAGCAGGAGAGTCTTACTCCACCCCAGAGAGGTGGGAAGTCAAGTATTTATCTTGGTTTGACATACAAGGAAACTCAAGCCGCTTGGAGGCCACACAGCGAGTCGGAGGAAAATCCTCGGGCTGGATCTCGGAGCCCTCGCTCTGGGGCCAGCCTGGACCATGAGCCCACCTCCCTGGGCGGGGAGAGGGGGGCTGGTCCCCTGTTACTTTCTTCTCGATTCAAAAGCTAGCAGCCCAGGCTGGCGTGAGCCAGGGAGCTCCTCCTCAGGGTGGCCGGGGGAAAGTATAGATGTTTAACAGTCTTCTCTTAAATGCTAGCAAAGCCACTCAGCCACATCTGTCCAGCCGCCGTGGTCTGCAAGGTGCCCTTCTAAGGGTGTTCCCTTCCTTGGGGACAGCTCCTCATCTTCCACCCGTTTTTTCCAGACCTTTCCTCGCACCTCATCACAACATGTTCTTAGGTAAGCATGTGATGAACCCCGTCAGATGTGATTCACAGGTATTTCCATTTTAACAGGAGACAAAGTTTTCAGCCAAAGGGGTGGGTTTCTCATGATGGAATTTTAGGTCAGGAGGGCCTTAGAAGGCACACTCTGTCGACAGCCACCTACATCAGCCTCGTGCTGCTCTTCGCCCACCACTCTGGGTAAGTTTCCACTCTCTCTTCTGATCCTCACTCCCCAAAGGCATACATTTCAACTGAATCCCTGTTCCAAATGCACTTGAACCCCAGGATGACCTACTCTCCCCTGTACCCAGCTGCGGCCGCCCAGGCACAGACGTAGCACTGTCCTGCTGTAACACAGGCGTGTTGCCTATGTTATTGGGTCCACAAGTGATGCTTGTTATGTGGGAGCCTCGGGGGTGGGGTGGTGCGAAGCTCCGCCGAGGGCTGAGCTCGGTGTGCCGGAGGAAGGCTTTCTCGGCCAGGCCGTACGCCACACTCAGGAAATGAGAAGGACTATGGGCCCCCAGACCCGCGCCCCAGAGGTTCTCACTCTGTGGGCCCGTGGTGGGATTCCGGCATCTGTGGTTTTTAAGTTTCAAGGATGCTGACGCTCACCAGCAGCAACCCCCAGCACCATAAAGGTCTGGGTGTGTGCGACCTGAAAGAAGTCAATACATTCCATAGGCCAAGGCTGGACGAGAAGAAGGCCAGTCCCAGGGGAAACTGACCCTGCACTTGGTCATTATGCTGTCAGGCATTAAGCACAAACTATCGGGTAGCAGCCACAAGACAGACCAACAGCACAAAACATGCCCTTTGTTCTGAGCAAATTTCCAATACGGTGGAAGAGAAAAAAAGGGTCGTGGGTTACTGGGCACACGTTCCCGGCTGTTTCAGAGCATGTTCTGTCTCTGGGTGGGATCCTGACAGCGATGCGAGAAGAGGACCGGGAAGGCGGAGGAGGGACAGCCTGGCACGCGTCTGCCAATGCTTTACGGTCAACACAGGGCAAGACGGCGCTCCCAGCACCTGAAAACAACCCCCACTTCCTCCCTGCCTTTTTTTCCTGAACAAAATTCAGTATGTGTGGGTCTTTAAATTTTGACCAACATGGGGAACTTACACTGAAAGAGGTCAACACCCACATTTAAAGAGAGACCAGGAGGCGAGTCCCCGGAGCTCTCCCCTGCCGTCAGCGGCAGGTGGGGAGCAGAGGAAGGCTGCTGCCCCGAAGCAGAGTCTTCTCCGCAGAGGGAGTGGACGGACCACGGACAAACCTGTCCTGAGCGTGCCCCAGGGCAGGCCGAACCAGGTGCAGTTTGGGTTTTCCTCTCCCTGAGGCCCCTGGAGGGAAGAGGGCCCGGCTTCCGGCCAGGCCCACCTTCGGGAAGCAGGCTGGCTGCTGACGAAGGGGCAAAGTCCTGGCTGTTCTGCCCACGGCTTCAGTCTGTGGTTCTCCTAAGGGTCTGAGCCGCCTCGGAGGAATTTCAGGAGGCTGACAATACTCCCAGGTCAGTCAGAATCAATCAATCCATTTCGGATAGAAGATTATAAGCCAAAGACTGCGTTTCTTGAATACAAATGCAGGGGGCGGGAGGATGTGGAGGGTGACCCGGAGCAATGACCCTAGTGGAACCACAGCTTGTTACAACTTAAAGGGGCCTGAGAGGTAAGTCGGCCCGAATTCCTCGTTTTTAGAGATAAAGAAACTGGGACCAAAAGAAGTTATGGAGTACTCCAGAGCTTCCTACCACACAAAGACTGTATCATACCAAAAAACTGAACTCAAAATCAGGTTGACATCAACTCATAGAATTTTCTAGTTCACATCCTGCCCTCCTTCCGGGAGCTGGGAAGGCTGACCACAGTTGATCTCTGGAACCGAGGCGCGTTCAGGACAACCTGTCTGGCGTGTGCACCACGCGTTTTGAGTAACCGTACGGTGTGGGCGGAGAGGGGCCGAACCTGTGTGATCCCGGCCCAGGCCCCAGGCTCCTCTCCACGACCTTGGGTGAGTCTCTCCAGCGCCCCGCCCTCCGTCTGCGAATCTGTAAACGGCCGGGGTGGAACTAGGTCCTCTCGGAGGTCCCTTCCAGCCCTAACAAGGTATTTCATTTCACAGATGAGGTGCTGGCGGTGCCGGGTGGGAATGCAGGAAACCAGGAGTGGGAGGGATGCGGCGGGGAGCCCGAGAGTCTCGCACGGTCTCTCTCCCCGACTGTGAGTTTTTGCTTAATGTCCTGACCTATTCAGTCATTTAGTTAACCCAAGATTGCAACGCACTGATCCAAGAGGTGCCACCTTCGACCAAAGAGCGATGCTGGTGGTTTCCGCAGAAGCAGCCCCTTTAAGGTTAAATAGTAAAAGAGGATCAGATGTCTCTCCGGTCCCCCACTGTGTTTTATTGATTCTTATTGAAATGAGAGGGTTCCGGGAGAAGGAGGAATGTATGCTCGGGATCTGGCAGCAGATGGTGGACGGAATGCAGAGTGGACTGGAAGGGACCGCGTCCTCATTCGTCTTCCCGCCCTCAACAGCAACACCAAACAGTAATGATCGCATCTATCCTTAGAGAGCTCTGCTGTTTCTGCAAACCAAGGCAGGCCTCGCTCTGGCTCCCCTCTCCGCCTCCCTCTCTCTCTGGCCCCATCTCTGTCCTACGGGATGGTGACTATCAGCCTCGTCGGGCAGGACCCTGCTGGTCCTTTGAGGAGCTTCCCTGAAGGATCCTACCAACTAGGAAGGGACAATTAATTCAAGTGCTTCTCTGCAGATTCCCATCTGAGGGCAACAGGAATCTTGGCAGTAGCTCCCCGGCTGAGACACGATGGATCGCTGAACTGAGCAGACTCTCCTTTCCCTCCTGTAGCCTGGAAAAGGGAAGG